GCTTCCATCTTGTTTTTCAGACTCTGGCTCATTTGGTGGAGGAGCTCATGGTTTTGCCTCCCTGCTGGGGCTGATCTTTTCACACTGGTTGGCTGTGGGGGTCGGAGTGCTGGGTGTTTCTCTAAATTAACTCACCAGGATGGCATTGACAGAATATGTAGCTTACTTGGGGCCAATGCCACCATGGTAGATTCCTTTTGTTTATCCTTAGCCATGCCAGGAGATCCTTTCCATACATTTTTTAATTGGTATAATAAGTGGCTTTGCTGGGTTTGCAAAATGGGTAGGAGCCGGAGGAAAACCATACATGGAAGCCAGTAAGCCGAACGCAGAGGATTGATCGTGTAACATAACCAGTGGTGGTACAAAATTGGACACGTGCAAAAGGTTGGGGATTAAGCCAAATGGCGAGGGCTTCCAAGCAGATATGACAACACAGTTACTGAATGAAAGTGGACTAGAGCCTCAAGAACTAGACTTGCTAGGATCGGTACCTGGAAATTATTACTTGTTTTTTAACTACTTTTTAAACCCAAAATCAACTAATAGGAGCAATGTTCTAGTCCCACAACCCAAAAATAAGTGTCATTCTTAATCCAAATTCTCCATGGTATAAGAATGTGACCGAATACTCCTACAATTGGACTTATCCTGGCAGTGCTGGTGCAAATGCAACTGTAAAAAGGTTCCAACAGCTATCTTTTTAATCTGTGAGGAGTTTGAAGGAATGTGTTGTATGAACCTCTCTGACCATTCTGAGTCCATTCGCAAGAAATTCAAACAACTACAAGATAACATGAAGAAATTGACTGCGAATGACTGGGGTTTGGATGAGTGGTTTGAGGGATGGGGAATAACTGGATGGTTGAAAGATATGGTAAAGGGAACTTTGTTAGTATTAGTAGTCATTATTTTATTGCTTTGTGTTATTCCATGCATAATTAAGTTGGTGACCTGATTAGTAGAGAATACAGTAAAGAGGGTCTGGCTGGTGCAAGAAGAAGAAGGGGGAATTGTAGCAATGTATCTGAACAACTTAGGCCTCAGTGTGCACCAGCCATACCGCTTGTAACTGTTCTTATCAGAATTTTCTCAGGGCACTGTGGAATTCATCAAGGTTACTAAGACATAAACTGTACTAAAATAAGAATGAAGAAGCTGAGAAATGGCATACCAGGATTGCAAGAACTAGATAACAGAGGACTGTAGAACACCTGCACGGTAACCAATCACAGACACTGAGAAATAGAGGCAGAGAACGAGGGAACAAGACAAAGGCACCAATCAAGAAGTGTGATCTTAGAAGTTTGTAGAATCTATACAAGTGTGTCTAATGTAAACAATAAACAGCTTCTGCTTGATCATATTGGTCAGTTGGTCAGGAGTCCTGGTTTACCCGCAATAGGTGTGAGCTTGGGGGATCAATGTGTATTTAAACCTGAAACCTGTCTTAGCCAGGAACACACGTCTTTGGTGGAAATACCCGCCATGTGTCCCAGCTGGAATAAAACATACCTGCTTTACAATTTTTAATTGTAGTCCTTATGCCGCAACTCACCTCCTCCTTCACCATCATGTCGTGTTAGATGGTGCTAAACCTATATTTTACCTCAATGTACTATCCTACCTGAATCAGACTCAGAAATCATATATCCTAGCTGTTGAAAGGAGTTAAACAAAGAATTTTGTATTTTTGCCTAGTTTGGTAGCTTGTTTTTACTTGTTTTTATAGTTTGCCTAAACATTGTAACTTTCATTTTATAATTTAGTTTTACTTCCTTGATTTTGCTTAAACTTTGTAACTTTCAATCTATAGCTTAGTTTTACCATATAACCTCCATTCGTATCTTTGTTTAATTGCTATTTAGACTATTAGCTCATAGTAGAACATTGATAACAAGGGACTGAGAAGATGAGCAAACCTCCCCAGCTGTGGCTTGATTACAGTGTCCTAAGACCTTCAGAACACTAAATAAGTAGAAACCTGTCAAGATGAAAGACTCATAAGTTTTGCCATGCTGAGGCTAATTGCATGAGTCTCACGTTACCAAGATAAGAGGTGAACAAGTCAGCACAGATGGACAGTGCATGCAGTCATGGAAGTTCAAGCAGAGGACATGATGAGGAAGATGCTGGAATCATATAAAACACCCCAAAAATAAAGAATGCAGTTCTGACCAACAGACAGTAGATGACAATCTTGCTTCACAAAAACATAAAGGACCAAAAATCCAAGGAATTTTGAATTACGTACCTATTACATAGCAAGGGGGACAGACTTTGAGTGCAGCTTGGGGAATTCTTTGAATATTAAAATGTATAAAACCCCGAGGGAACAATGCCCAAGCAGGTGTGTTTATGGAAAGGGACACCCCCAGCATGTTCCAGTACTGAATAAAGGAATGTTTTCTTAACAGGTTATGCCATTAAGTGATTTTCTTTGAATCACTGCACTTTTGCACTTCCACAACATCTGCATTCTGAATGTTAGTAGTCCAAACCACAGGTGGATTATGTCTGTATTGTAGAAGCAGGAGTTAATTGCATGCTTTTTAACTATTTTTTTATCTCCCTGTCTCAGTTGTCATCCTGGCTTTTAGACCTCTGTGACTTACCTATCTTGTCATCTTCAAGTATTTGAAGTTTTCCTTGGAAGTGTCAACACTTGAAAACATATTTTCACATTTCTCTCAGCTCTAGAATTGTCCCTGGTTTTTAAATGTGAATAAAGTCCTATCTTACAATAAGAAAACCTACTGGAAAAGCCTAAGGGATAGTTCGAGTAATTTTGTCCGCTCACTTTCCCTGCTGTAACGACGGAAGATAGTTGGGTCTTCTTGGGCGTTCTCTGCACCCCCACACCCTCCCCCTACCGTCCCTGATGGGCAGTGCGATTTGTCCTAAAATAAGAACACCAGGTGGGAATTGCTGGAGGAACTGTCTGAATGCTCGCACAATTAATGCGTTCTAGAGATGGGGGAGCTGTGATGATTGCGACTGACTTTGGTACACATCGGCCTGCAAAAGTTTAAAATGCTGCTGGAGAACGGACCAACTGGTCTCCTGCGATTGCAGGCAGCTTCCGGGTGGATCCCTCCCCCCTACCAGGCAGGGACAGCTGCAAGGTACATCCAGCCCAAAAGATGGGAAACACTTTTGGATGGGTGAGTATAAGCACTAAGATCTGGTCACATATGTATATAAAATCCTAAAGTAGCTCCATAGATGCTTTATTATTGTGCATTCTGCAAGGCCAAAGACTGTAAACCTGTGTGTTTCTAGCTGAACCTGTTGATATTTTAACCCTTTACACTTGCTTATACTGCATTGGCAATATTTAGATACTGTATTAGCAATAAATCTAATCATAATCAGCCACATAATATCATACTTCTTGCACCTGACCAAGAGTCTTCTCTCTACTACTCCACCACACCTGGTTTCAAAAATACCTGGAAGAGAACCTCTAGTAATCTGCCATAACAATTTATGCATCATGTATGAGATGTATGAATATGCAACAGGCGATTGTTTTTAAGGGTTAATCCTCTGTTAACGGGTGTCCTTTTTCAGGCTTGTGATGTCCGTATCTCTTTGATTTTATTGCCTCATATTGTCCTAATCTCAATTGTTCAAATTTTATTACTCTAATTATATTACTATTTTTATAACCATTTTATTACTATTAAACTTCTAAAAATTTTAAAAACAAGTGATTGGCGTTTTTCACAAGCATTTTATATTTAGCTCATTATTCCAAGAGCCCAGTCTAGAAACATGACATTTTTATCCCACCACAAGTCCATGATTTATAGGCAACCTTAAATCCTTCCAAAGGAAGATTTCTTTTGCTCTGCCCACCTCTATGACAAATTTTTTGTTTATCTTTCTTTATATAAAACCCACATAACTCCATGACTTGCAGAAAAAAAGGCATATTTAATGGAACAGCTTTTTCAAAGTAATTACTCTCATATTTGGTATTTAATATTTAAAAATATTGTGCAGTAACCAAGGACCTACAGGTATTTCTGTCAAAATATACATGAAGTATATGATACTGTTAAAATTGTAATTAGCTGGAAGAGGGCGACTGAAGTAATATGCTACAGAACATTTTACTAGGAGATATATTATTAATAAACATATTTGTTAAAAAAAAGAAGCTGCTGAGACACAATCCTGGCTCAATGAGCTAAAAAAGTTAACCATAACCTGCAATAATCAACATGCTTTTTAGGCCAATATCATAGTCACATACAAGTTTGAGATGTAACAAAAGCCAGCAATTAGAAAAAGAGGTCCACATAAATATAATCACAGCAAAAAGGACATGGGTCTTCACTTTGAACAATGCATCAGGATAATTGTATACCAATGCAAAGATATTCTTTGTGATCTGTGCACCACTGTAAGTCGTTCTGTTGCAATCAGTCACATGAAGCTTCATCTCCTTAATCCTAAAATACATTTTTGTCTACTAACATTGGAAAAAAGGTCCAAAAGGATTCAGGAATTTGAGGGAGAGGAGGAGTAAAGAGGAAAGTGATTATTCATTTCCAATGTAGAAAATAATTATTCTCCTTTATGCATCTTTCCCTATTCTAGTCTTAGTGGCACAGGTAAATTTTACATACAGCATATTTGGTTTGTTAAGAAACAGTATAAAAAACATCCTAAATTTTACACAATATATGCTCACATTATTATTACTGTACAAACCTGCTAGAAATAGTTCCCAGCAGAAGTCAATTAACTCTTTGCACTTGCATAAACACAAAGTCTTTAGGTTAAAGTGTATCAATTTAGAATTACATTTTATAGCCACTATTAAATGAGTATGCTGAAAAAAATTGTAAAAAAAGCTAAATACACTTCATCTCTTACTGGAAAATACATTCACATTGTGAGACTAGAGGAATATTTTTGGATGTTATCCTCCTTGAGAATATGAGTAACTTCACTCCTATTTACTACAAGAAAAAATAAAACAAACTTACCTTTAACACTTTTTCTGTTAACATCAGCTCCTTTTTCAAGTAAATACTGAGCAATTTCTTTGTGGCCTTTGTAACATGAGATCATCAAGCATGTATGCCCATGACGGTTTGATACTTCCAAGTCTGCTTTGTGCTCCACAAGGTATTTTACTATTTCCAAGTGACCATCAAAACAGGCTGCTCTAAGCGGAGTTGAATTTGTTAGAGTTGTGTTGTTGACAGATGCACCATGATCCAACAGACACTGAACCACCTTCAAGTGTCCAGCAGCTGATGCTGCCCATAATGGTGGAGCACCTTCAATGATCTCACCATCAAAATTAACAGAACCACCAATCTCTATAGAAGCAGAGGAATAATCCAACAAGTATTCCACCATATTAACGTGCCCATAACGGGCTGCTATCAAAAGTGGTGTGGCACCGTTGGTTTTTTCTGACATTAGTAAGGCCACCTCTTCTCTGGTTTTGCTTGCCAGTAACTTGGAAAGGAGATGCAGCTTGCCATCACGAGCTGCGTTGAACACTGCTGTCTTTAGATCCATTTAGTTTGTACCTCTATTTCTTGAAGGATACACAACTGCCCTTTTCAGAGTCACAAACAAAAGCTTATTGGAAACACACAGCCCCAACTTTTTCTCAGATCAGACAGATGGGAAAACATGAAGATGCTGAACAAAGTCCTGACAAAGCAGAGGCTTCACTTGATAACTCTGCAAAAGAAAAAATTCTGGATGTTTTTACCTTCTACTTCTCAAACAAGTATGTACAATTACATTTTTCTACAGCTATACTCAAACAAACCACTGGTTGTGGTGCACCAACATCCAGCTGCCATTCATGGAACTTCCCTGGACTGCACAGTATCTCTTAAAGAAGATATTGATCAGGAGGCCAGATCCTAGCAGTGTGCTATGCATACCATTTGCAGGAAAACACTTTCTCCTCACAACATAACAAACCGTACACTTGTATCAACTTCTGCTTTTAAGCACAGCCTAAGTAAAGAACCATGAGCCCCACCCCCTCATGTCCTCTGAGGAGCCCCATGCTCACAAACACACGCGTCCCCGTGCTACCTCCACCCTAGTGGCGAGTGAGCAATTTCAGAGCCTGATCGGAAAAACAAAATACGTCCTTGCCACAGTCGTGTGATTTAGTATCAGACACCACCGAAACCCCAAATTTGCCCTTCCATCACAAACACCCTCACCCTGCCCAAAGACCCCCGCCTCCAAACCTCCTCCTTCAAGACAACGCTATATTTGCCTCCCACCCCACTCCCCTCCCCCCCCCCCCCCCCCCGGATTACCCCGTGCCTCGCTTCAGATCGTCTCTCTATTTTCTACCTCTAGTCAAACAATCACCCGCCTCCCAAACCACCCTAGAGTCCCCAAAAACCTCTTCCCAGTTCCCTCAGAACCGCTCCTCACACGACCGCTGGGACAGGGCAGCCTCCACCGCCTGCGGGGAGAGGCGGCAGCAGTGGCACTGCCGCGCCGCCCACAACAGGCGAGGAAGGACCCAAGGGTGCGGGGCTACCTTCCCAGGACGCTACCGGCTCTCTCCCACCTAAGCCACCTTCACACGGAAGCACCCGCCGCTTCGCCCACTCCATCCAGCTCCTCCACGACAGACCAGTCCCCACAGCGCTGAGCGTCTACCACCAACCCCACACTCCGAAACAGAGGAATCTACCAAGCACATCCCAGCCACCGCTGGGCCCAATGAGAAACACGCCTGAGCGCCGCCAGCCACTCGGAGCAGGGCGGGAGGCGGGACTACGCCGTCGCTCAATCTACGCTGAGAGTGGGGCGGTGCTGGCGGACGGTGGCGATGCGATAGCTGTCCTCTAGGGGGGGGTGGTGCTCCCCACCATAGCGCGTGCGGGCTGGCAGAACGCAACGGGAAGGAGGTAGGGTTAGATTAGCTGTGGTATGTGGGGATCAGGTACGGGGGGTTCTTTTTCCCCAGCCCGTGTCTTCTTTTCCTTTCTCTAGAATAAAACAAAGGGCAAGGCAGCGCTAGAGCGGAGCGTGCACCGGCGGGGAGGAATGTCACAGGGATGAGGGAACAGCGAGGGCGCACGGTACCTGGAGAGGGACGCTTCCATGGAGAGTAGCAAAAACCCGCAGGGCTGCAGGAGGAAATCCCTCACGGCTGACCATGAGTGGATCTGCTCAGCAGGTCCGGGCAATAAACCCATCCTTTGCAGCGAGATGCAAAACCTGCCCTGTCTGGAGAAAGAAAAGTGTATGTTTCCTCCTCAGAAATAGATCGGTTTACTGCTGAATTGGAGGGGGCGGGGAGGGGGGGTGGGTAATTCGATGCTCCATTTAGTGGGAGAGGCGGCCATGAAGGTTTGCAGAGCCTGCAGTTTGTAGGCAGACCTTCCCTGCCCACCCGTGCTGAAGGCCAGGGTGAGAGGCTGGTGTGGGGGCTTCAGTGCCCTGCTGTGCCTGTGGGGAGGGATAGGAGCCCAAATGCCCTCATCACAAAAATTTGCAACTGGCCCGTGCTGAGAAGACAGGACACAAAGTATAGAATTACAAGGGTAAATATTTCTTCCTGTGCATGAGGTGTCCCAGACAAATTTGGGCACTCCAAATGTGGTTTTACACAGGGTTCTTATACCTTTCAAGCATTCAGATACAACACAATTTGACAAATCACTAACATACACACATACATACACACTACCCATTAATAATCATAGTAAAATTTTGTAAAACTATATTTTTGCAACATTCTTGCTGCTTGTCTCTTGACTCAAATGTCCCTGGAGTCAGTCTTGCTAGTTACTTAGCTATGGATGCCACACAATGCTGGGAGGGTTTCAGACACACATTAGAGGGGCTACGATGCTGGCATTATCTTGATTGTCCAGGGGTATTCTTTATCCTTCATGCACAGCTCTAAGCTTCCAAAAAGCAGTGTCTTTATTTCCAGGGCTGGGCTGTCCTTAAGAATGTTTTACTTAAGCATGAACAATACCGAAGTCTCCAGTAAAATTCCTCTGCAGTATTAAAGTCTTATGTCTGTTAGCTTTCTGTCTATTAAATAAATAATTCATTATATATTAGACCAAATCAGCCATTATTAAAGAACTTGCAGACAAGAGTGGGTTTTGAGGTGCTGGCCACCTCAATAAAGCTACTGCCTGCTGCTGGAGGCTTGGGCAAAAGGCAAGGGCTTATCTAAACCTCCACATCCATTTGTAACACCTACAATGCGACAGGAACCATCAGTGAAAAGAACATAGTGTGTTCCTTCTTGTGGCAGTTGTTATACGGTGGAGTTTCCTCGGCATGGGTCACCTGTTCCTGTTCTTCCTCGTCAGTCAGACCAAAATTTTTACCTTTGAGCCAATTTGTAATTACTTCCAAGATCCCAGGGCTATTCAGGTTTCCAATCCAGGCGCGCTGTGTGATGAGGGCAATCCACTTACTCCATGTGGCATCAGTGGCGTGGTGGGTAGAGGGAGCCTTTCCTATAAACATCCACCCCAGCACTGGTAGTCAGGGTGCCAGGAGAAGTTGTGCTTCTGTTCCAATCACCTCTGAGGTGGCTTGAACTTCTTTAAAGACTGCCAGGATTTCCTTCTCTGTTGGAGGGTATTTGGCTTTGGACCCTCTGTAACTTTGGCTCCAGAATACGAGTGATCAACCCCAGGTCTCACCAGGCACCTTCTGCCAAATTCTCCAGGACAGACCATTGCTCCCAGCTGCAGAGTAAAGCACATTCTTCACCTCTGGTCCTGTCTTGACTGTGCCAAGGGCTACCACATGTGCAATCTCCTTGATCTGGGTGAAGGCTTGTTGCTATTCAGGGCCCCAGTGGAAATTGTTCTTCTTACGGGTTACCAGGTAGAGAGCTCACAGTCTGACTGTACTCAGGGATGTGCATCCTCCAGAAACCTATGGCACCTAGGAAAGTTTGTGTTTCCTTCTTGCTGGTAAGTGGAGACATCACTGTGATCTTACTGATGACCTCAGTGAGTATCTGATGCCGTCCTGCCACTGCTCCTCTCAGCTAGCTGATGACAAGGGGGGGGGGGGGCAGCAGATCCTCCCTCGAGCCCTGTGAATCCCAGCTACCAGCTGTTGGCGCAGCATAAAACACAAGGCAGCACACCGGTCCCAGGATAACTTTATTTGATGGTAAAACTTGCTGTCTTTTTCATCTCGGGACCCCGAACAAGGGGCAGACAGGAGCTTATATGTGGGGGCAGGTCTCAGGGGAGGGTACAATCTTTAACAAATCAGGAGAATTGGGAGTAAAAAACAAGGCGGGAACCACAATGTATAAACTAATAAAAATTCCAAGGGAGGAGAACAGTTTCAGTAAACTGATAGAGTTTGGAGAAATAGAAACTAGCAACTAACAACAAGAAAAGTGATGAAAATTCTGGGAAAAGGCAGGAACAAAAAGGAAACAGCATAAAGAAAACTACCAAATTACAAATCAAACAATAAATCTACTAGTAAAACAAAATACACACTGCAACACCGTCCATCATGCCACTTCACTCCTAGGAACTGGATCTCTCAGGCAGGTCTCTTCACTTTGCTCTTTTTGATGGCAAAGCTTTTTCCAGGACCTACACGTATTTCTGTCAAAATATACTTGACATTGTCTTGGGGATAGTTTTTTAATCCCATATCCATTTTAATTTTTGTTTTGTGTCCAGGGTGGTCGGACAATGGGACTCATTCCGAGAACAGCCTTATAAACACCTGGGCTAGAGAACATGGTACTGAGTGGGTATACCACATTCCTTACCATGCACCAACTGCTGGGAAAGTTGAGTGGTGCAACGGACTGCTTAAAACCACCTTGAAGGCACTGAGCAGGGGTGTCGCATGTCCTGGCTAGATGAGCTCCGCTGAATCCCAGCTACCAGTGCAAGCGCAGCACGAAAACAAAAGAGCAGCACCACGGGTCCTGGGGTGGAACTGGGGTAACTTTATTCAATGGCAAAACTCCCCCTCCCCAGCATCCCAGAATGCCAAACTGAGGGCAGACAATAGCTTATAAACGGGGGGAGGTCTCAGGGGAGGATACAATCTTTAACTAATCAGGAAAACTGGGAGTAAAAAACAAGGCGGGGAATACAATGTATAAACCAATAAAGAATTTCAAGGGAGAAAAACAACTCCAATGAACTAATGGGGTTTGGGAGAATACAAAACTGACAGGGAAGTTTCTGGGGGAAGGCAGGTTCGGGGAGAGATTGACATTTAATGGAAGGAGGAGTAAGAAAGGTTCTGGGAAAAGGGCAGGGACAGGAGGGGTTAGCAACTGGAAAGGGGAGGGGGTTTAAAGCTTGGCAGGGAGTAGCCAGGTAACAAACAAAAAACCAACACTTAACTAAATAACAATAAGGAATCAAGTCTAGTTTTAAAAACATAAAATACAAAATGGGAAACCTGTGCCACTCTAAAGGCAGGAAAAGGACAGCATAAGGGAATTACAAAATTAAAAATCAAACAATAAACATACTAATAAAACAAAAAACCACACCACTATACAGGGAGACTTTGAAAAATTGGGAGTGACATTTAGCAAAGGCTATGTGGTTAGTTAACACCCAAGGCTCCACCAACCTAGCTGGCCCTGCCCAATCTGAACCCCTGCATACAACAAGACAGGGATAAGGTTCTGGTGATATGCATGAGAGGTATGCTAGGAAAAACTGTTTGGATTAATTCTGCCTTGAGCAAAGACAAACCGATCAGTGGGGTTGTTTTTGCTCAGGGAGCAGGTTGCACCTAGTGGGTTGTAACAGCTGAAATGAGGGATGTGGGGACACATAAAAGGAAAAAATCTTAATTTCTTCTATCATCCTATCTCTAATACATTACCCTATCAACTAGGTTTTAACATTGTTTTCTAATTTTGGACTGGTACCTGGGTTGGTTTTTTTTTTCTGATATATTTTGATTTTTTCAGAATGACATCCCCGTTGTCATTTATTTTCAACAATCTGACATATTAAACTTTCCACAAACACCCCCTTCTTTAGCCAATGAATTGTCCAAAGCCAACCTATTTTGATACACTACAGTTTTTGTTTGGCTTTGCTGACTTGATATTAATTCCAGTGCATGAGCAACTTTATTTGTTATCATCTTTATGACTGCTTGGCATCTTATAATACAATTCAGCATATAATTTGGGGTCAATACTGTTATGAGTAGAAAAGTTGTCCATTTTTTTTAAGTTGCAGAGTTAACAAGTTAAACCAATTGCTGTTGTTAATAACTTCATGTTGTAATCACCTGTTGTTAATAGTTTTTCTTCAGTTACCTGTTAATGGTTAGAAATCAGCTCAATTGTCCCCCTGCTGCTTCCCAGAGGATGACACCTGAGATTTCAGGTAGCGGGGAGGAGGTGATGTCAGGGTTGGTATGCAAATTAGGAAGCTCCTCACCAAATCTTGCAAGAAAAACCCCTAAAACAACGTGCCGACATGGAATTAAGAGATCTAAGTGATATCTAAAGGTGAGGAACTTAATCCCGTGTCTGCTAAGATCCTTTTTACCTCTCACCCTAACCT